TGTGACAAAAGGTCAAAAAATTGGCATCATGGGTAATGAAGGCCATTCTTATGGTAAACATCTTCATTTCGAAGTACGGGATACAAAATCCGAACAACCTATTAATCCAATGCTTTTTGGTTTCGCTACGGAAGATAATGTAGCACCTAATATTATGTCACTTGCCTTGCATGGTTTGGATGATCATTTTCATAAAAATTATAACAAAAAGATACCACTTCCGGCAAAAGTAAATAACATCATTCAAATACCTGAACCCATTATTTTTCCATATGAGCATACACTGTTGTATAACCCACATCAGGATGGTCGATATAAATGGCCCTACCATATCCACCTGGACTGATAGCAATCCTAGAGATGAATCCTTCACCTACCGATAGTATGTGGTCCACTTGTCTTCCACCTGACGGTTTAATATCTAGTCCTGCATGAAAATGAGAAGACCGTAATTCACCAAAATTGCCAGATAACTTATATTTGTAGGAAACTGGACTACCAAAAAATCTGAATACACTAGAAGAATCGTTGGTGGATGGATTAGGGTTTAAGAAATCTACTTGTTGCTTTTGGAACATATCTTGCCCTATTGCATCCCTACAAAGCAATGTCAACAAAGACCAAACTACACAAACTACACTTTTCAATGTTGAGACTTATTTTGAATTAATAATAAGAGATAGTTTTTCTTGGAATGTTCTTAACGCTTCGGTAGTCTGTATTGTTTGATGTTTAATGTCATTTAACAGTTTAATATAGCTTTCTTGGATGTCTTTTTGCCCTAAAACCATGTCAATAACCATCTTTTGACTTTGTTTTTCAAACCATTTTATCTCTTGTTTTTCTCGTTGTTTTATAAAAAATCCATTCTCATTCGCTACTTTGTGGTAAGCCATGGTGGCATCATACACTTCAGATATTCCCAATTGACCGATGGAAGAAACCAACAATACTGGGCAAGTCCAACCTTCCAAATCATGATGAAAAAGTGAGATGGCATTGGTGTAAGAAGTTTTGGTATTTCGAGCCAATTCTACCATAGCGCCATCAGATTTATTGATAACAAAAATATCTGCATTCTCCATTATGCCACGTTTGATGCCTTGGATATCATCGCCTGCTCCTGGTTGCAAAAGCAGGATATTGATGTCCGTGATATTGTCCACTTCTGTTTCAGACTGACCTACACCTACGGTCTCTACGATGATGATGTCGTAACCAGCTGACTCACAAATTTGAATGGTTTCTTTGGTTACTGCTGCTGTACCTCCTAGCACATTATTAGTCGCAGAAGGTCTTATAAAAGCTTGTGGATGAGATGACAAACTCTCCATCCTTGTTTTATCACCCAAGATGCTTCCTTTGGTTTTCTGACTTGATGGGTCGATGGCAAGAATAGCAGGTTTGTGCCCTTTATCTATCAGAAACAGCCCGAATGCCTCAATGAATGTACTTTTGCCTACACCCGGAGTGCCTGTGATACCTATCCTGATCGTGGGTTGATGATTTACAGGCAGTTTGCTTAATATTTCTAAACCGAGTTGTCGTTTTTTAGAAAGGCTACTTTCTAATAAGGTAATCGTTTCACTTAGAATATACCGGTCACCTGATACAAGTCTATTCAGATAATAATCCACAGGTTTTTGCTCCTTAGTCGGGAGACTAAATGAAGGGTTTACATGAGAACTTTTATTTTCTAAATTGGACATAATAACTAAAACCTGAATATCAAAGGTACAAAGGTACACATTACAGTATATTTCAAGGCTTTCGATTGTTCAATAATTCATATTTTGGCGGCGTGTTAACTAATAAACACTATTTACTTTTTCAACCTACATTCTCACCACTTCTCAACTCAATAAGCGTAATCTCTGGCCACATACCTATCCTACCCGGAAAACCTAGGAAGCCAAAACCACGGTTGACATACAGAAATTTTTGTGCTTCTTCATATAGACCTAACCATCTTTTGTACCTGTATTTAGCTGGACTCCACGCATAACCTGGCAATTGGAAACCAAACTGAAAT